AAGGTGCGGAGAAAGATCCGGAACAAACAATCGGCGCAGGACAGCCGGAGGAGGAAGAAGGAATACCTGGACGGGCTGGAGAGCAGGTGCGGCTCCCGCTCTCCCGGCGCTTTCCCGGCGCTTTCCCGGTGCTTTCCCGGCGCTTTCCCGGTGCTTTCCCGGTGCTTTTCCGGTGCTTTTCCGGTGCTTTTCCAGCGCTCCCGTTATCCCTTTCCCGGCGCTCCCGTTATCCCGGTGCTCCCGTTATCCTTTTCCCAGCGCTCCCGCTATCCCGATGCTTTCCCGGCGCTCCCGTTATCCCTTTTCCGGCGCTCCCGTTATCCCTTTCCCGGTGTTCCCGTTATCCCGGTGCTCCCGTTATCCTTTTCCCAGCGCTCCCGTTATTCCGACGCTTTCCCGACTCTCCCGTTATCCCTTTTCCGGTGCTCCCGTTTTCCCTTTCCCGGTGTTCCCGTTATCCCGTTATCCTTTTCCCGACTCTCCCGTTATCCCGACGCTTTCCCGGCACTCCCGCTATCCCGATGCTTTTCCAGCGCTCCCGTTATCCCGGTTAGGTGTTCCCGTTATCCTTTTCCCAGCGCTTCCGCTGTCCCGACACTTTCCCGACGCTTTCCCGGCGCTTTCCCGGTGCTTTCCCGACGCTTTCTCGACGCTTTCCCGGCACTTTCCCGGTGTTCCCGTTATCCCGTTATCCCTTTCCCGACTCTCCCGTTATCCCGACGCTTTCCCTGCGCTCCCGCTATCCCGATGCTTTCCCGGCGCTCCCGTTATCCCGGTGTTCCCGTTATCCTTTTCCCAGCGCTTCCGCTGTCCCGGCACTTTCCCGACGCTTTCCCGGCACTTTCCCGGTGCTTTCCCGACGCTTTCCCGGCACTTTCCCGGTGTTCCCGTTATCCCATTCCCGGCGCTCCCGTTATCCCATTCCCGGCGCTCCCGTTATTCCTTTCCCGGCGCTCCCGTTATCCCATTCCCGGCGCTCCCGTTTTCCCTTTCCCGGCGCTCCCGTTATCCCTTTCCCGGCGCTCCCGTTATCCCATTCCCGGTATTCCCGTTATCCCTTTCCCCGTCCCGTTGTCCCCTCCGGTCACTGTTCCTGTCCCGGCAGAGCGGCCGCGTGCTCTGCACTGAACCAGGAGCTGCGGAAAAAGGTGCAGGAGCTGGAGAAGAGCAACGGGTGAGCGGCGGGGGGAGAACGGGGAGAACGGGAGGGGCACCGGGGAGGGGACACCGGGGAGGGGGCACCGGGGAGGGGGCACCGGGAGGGGACACCGGGAGGGGCACGGAGCTCACTCCCCTTCCCGCAGCTCTCTCCTGCGGCAGCTCCAGGCGCTGATCAAGGAAACGTCCTCCAA